TTTAAAAAAGCATATATTGTCAAGATAAGCCATTCTCTCCACTTCTCTCTTATTGAGTAGCCACTTCTGCCTCCATGTTTTTTACTTCTGGGAAGGACATGTGAATAGCTTCACTAAAACTTATATTCTATGCTCTTTAATAACATTTTAGATGTATTAGTAGTGATTAGTTTCAAAGAAGAAAAAAGAAAAAGAATACTCAGCAAAGTATCTTGATACAATGTAGCTTTTAGAGACACTTATTGACTTTAATTAAGCAAAGTACTATATTTACTTTGATCAGAAACCTCCTCTCAACTAAAGTGGGCTTGTTGGGAGCAGAACATAGAGCTCTGAACTATTGAGTTGGCATTGATTGTTTGATCGTCCCTAGAAGTTTATTGTAAATGAAGCAGCATTTACGATTCTGGGTATTCCTGGAATTGCTGCTGTAGTTTGAAGTGAGTTATTCTGTATGGCAGGAGTGGCATATAGAAAAGCCGTAATTCTGACTTGCTGACAGGAAAAACTAGTAGATTTTGTATTTATATTATGTCATCCTTTTGGCTGGAATCCATCAGCTTTACAGTATCTTGCGATGCTTTCATCAGAACCATTATCCAAAGTCTCAGCCAAGTAATGGGCATCTCAGGAGCAGTACATACAAGTCATTTCTGTGGCTCCAGGGGTGTGAAGCCACTGTGATTTGGCTGAAAGAGAAACAAAGACATTTTCCCTGGTATGGTGTGTGTGCTGGGCTATAAGAAGTTTCCATGCCCACACAGGGTGGGCCTGTGCTAGAAGTCACCAGAAGTTTCTCCCCATTGCTGCAGCAATGGTGCATGGCAGTGCATTGGTTGTAAGCTGGAATGCAGCCAAGGTTGGGGCACGTTAGTGACATTTTTAAGGATTTTTTTTTAGTAGCTGGAGGGGAGGGTGTTTTGGACTGACATTAGTTTTCTAGATGGATTTTAGACTATGAAAAGTACTAAAATGCCAGAGAAAGTAGTATTGGAGATGGAGACCATTTTAAAGTAGTTTTCCCCCTTATGGAAAGAGCAAGTACTTAGGAATCGGTCACTTGCACACTTAAAGCTTCTCATGCTTTTTATGCTCTAAGCATAAGATGCTGAACGTGTTTGTACATATAAGGGTTCCCTCTCCTTGACTGGAACTGTATTCCATCAAGTTGTAATCAGTTTAATAGAAATTATGGTCAAAATATTTGTTTCCTGAATGCTACACTCTGTTGGGCACTTTATATGCATTAACCATTTAACTCTTGACAGCCCTGTGAGATAAATTCTATCTTTATCTCCCTGCTTACACTGAGAACATTGAGTTTGGGGATGGTAAGTAATTTGCCTTAAGATTATAACTAGCAGGAGCCAGAATTAAAACCCAGGTCAGTAGGATTCCAGCCCATGCTCCCAAACCACTCTATAGTGTCATCTGAAAATCAGGAAATGAGACTCTGATGTATGACCAGGCTTCTGCTGAGAATCCCTGTTTATTCTCTTGCTTTTTCAAGCAAGTTACAGCCCACATTAGCACTCTGCCTTTCTGGAGCACTTTTATATCCATAGCTTCTTTTGAAAAATGTTGCTTTTGAAAAGGTATTGTGATAAGTACTTAATGAAGACTTTTTGTTGTTGTTGTTGTTGTTGGGGGGTGGATACCAGGGATTGAGCCCAGGGCACTTAATCACTGAGCTGCATCCCTAGCCCTTTTTATTTTTTATTTTAAGACAAGGTCTTGCTAAGTTGCTTAGGGCCTTGCTAAATTGGTTAGGGCCTTGCTTAGTTGCTGAGGATGGCCTTGAATTTGAGATACTCCTGCCTTGCCCTCCCTAGTTTCTGGGATTACAGGCATGCACCACTGTGCCCACCTCTCTGATGAAGACTTTTTGAAGGATCCTTTTGATCCTTAGACCAACCCTTTGGCAGGATGTTTCCTCAGGTGAATGGGTGGGGAAACTGAGGCTCACCAACCTTAAGATTGTTGACTGCTTCTGAAAGCCTTCTAAAAATGTCTACAAGCTTAAAGCTTCTTAAGATATTTAAGCAGCCACTTTCAGGACATTTTTAAAATTACACATTTTCCTAAGTTTAGTTCATCAATATTTTATTTGTATTTTTATTTCAGAAGTCAAAGTCTTTGATTCCTTGAAGACTTTCATAGAATAACTCATTATAGATGAGATGGTATTTTTAGTGAAAATAATCAATTATCTATGATGTATGATTTTGATTCTTGTCATTGACTTAAACTGTCACCCAGTTGATTTTTACATATAAATCTGATAGTGGTTTTTGGCCAAAAGAGTCACATTCTGATGGTTCTATTTGTGAATATTAAAATGGTCTGTTTTTATTTCTCTCTCTCTCTCTTTTTCTCTTTAAACTGTCCAATCAATTTCCCTTTGCTTGCACAGATATCAGTATTTCAAAAGATGTTCTTGAAAATTAAGAGTTTCAGTATTGTCTGACAGATTTCTGGAATTTGCATCTTAGAAAATATTTGTATTATCCCATTTATTGCAGCTAGGTTCTATTCCCACTCACAGAACTGTTTTGTTTCTTGTACTTTCCCTTATTCAGAAAGTATTAGTTGTACTTGTCTCTTACATAAGAATATGATAAATTAAAGAAATTTGAGGAATGTGCAAAATTTCTCTTGATTTTGTTGCATATAAATAGCAGCAGCTACAAATTAAAACACAAGGGTAATCCTCTATTACCAAAAGAAAAATACTTTCTTTCAAATCCGTGAATTTTATAAGGTGAAGGATTTACTGCTTTCATAAAAAAGTTTTGATTGCTCCTCTTTATCCTTCCCATTTTCTAAGCTATGTTGTATTCATTTGAGTTGGAAATTGAACCCAGTGAGTCATGTTCTCTTTTAAAAGGATATTTTGTGATTCCTGCTGATTTGTTTCTAGCATTAAAATTTTGTTTTTAGCTTATAATAAGAAGCTTAAATTGATTTCCTGGAATGATCTAAAAAGTGTTTATAAATTGATCTTGCTCCTTTTCTACTTGATCTAAAAGTAATCAGCTAGATACCATTGTATATTTTTAAAGAAATGCTACTTGGAAGAAGATATTACACAAATGTTATATCCCTAAAAAGCACTTGCCATCCTGATTGAGCACAGTGTTGTCATGTCTTATAAAGTGAATCAGTAGTTTGATGTTTAAAGTGCTTAGAGTAATGCCTAACATTTTAAGTGCTATGTGGGTGGTTTTTATTTATTTATTTTTATTAATAGTCTGTCAATTCACTTGAGAGCAGGGATTTTGTTATTATTAAAGCAGCATAAAAATGGTATAATGTATAAGAATTTCATTAATTTTGTTTTCTCAAAAGAGTTTAAGGCTAAGCACCACAAATTTAGGCCATTTTATTGTCCTGCCCAATAATATTAGAGGTTAGTTTGAAGATTAAGTACAATGTGATTTTAATATAGTGTTGTTTGTAATAGAGAAGGAATAATGGGAAAAACCAAAGTCTCTTTGATAGCAGGTTTTCATGGAATTTTAGTTCTAGAAGAATTTTCATGGTTTTAGTCTGACACTTGACTCTTATGTGAGGCCCAGAGAAACTTGTGGCTCCTCAAGTAAAGTAACACGTGGTCTGATGGTTAATTTTAAAAAGCTTTAAACATTCTGAAAATGTTTATATGGTGGCCCTTCTGTGAGGAGCCCAGGTCTGGGAGACTTGTCCAACCCTTCCTGCCCTAAGGGGCCTGGGTGGGTCTTTGTCTCTTTCCTGGCTTGGGACAAATTACTTCATGGTGCAGAACATTGAGTTCCCTGGGGGCAATTCTGTCCCTCCGTGGCTGTAGCAGATAAGGGTGTGCTGTGGGGAATCTGGGGCAGAGAGGCCCTGGATACCCGCTGAGTGTGAGTGATGCCTGTGCCCAGGCATAGAGGGATTGTAGAAAGTTTCCCCAGTCATGGAGCCAGAGGGACTAGCTGCAGAGGGCTCTTTCCTTCTAGAGGGCCTTTGCACATGCTGATCCTTTCCAAAACCCAGACTGTTTTCTTCCCATTGACTTTGTTCCCCACTTCCCCAGACATTCACCACAGTTCAGCTCTGTATTACTGCCTTCTGAGCCCACCCTTGATCATCCCCCCCCCCATTGTATGCTCTCTGTTTTTCCTTCGTAGCATTTTAGCTGTTTGAAATGACCTCTGTCTATGCTTCCCTGATTGCATTGTTCCTGTAGACTGTAAGCTCCTTGGGGGCAGGAATTGTATTGTTCTTTTTCTTTGTTGTGGCCTTCTCTTCTAGACCAGTTTCTGACTTGCACAAAAATACTTGTTGAATGGAAGACTCTTCTAAATATGGCATTTGAGGCGCAGCTTCTGAGCTAAAGCAAAGCATTAGTATTCAGCTAATTTCTAATGCTGTTTTGATACAGGACAAGGTGTCTGTTTACATTAAAGCAATTAATTGTATTAACTTTCAAAAAGCTGGAGATGTAATGATTTGTTTTATGAACCTTGTTAAAATTGTTCATATCAAAATAACTAAATCAAAGTCATGACATCAAAACTCACATTTGAACCTACTGCCTGACTTATTGTTATTACTTTTGCTAGAGTCTCACCCACTACAGAAAGCCTTGCCCAGCTAGCCCTGCCCAGCATTAGTTACCATTAGCAAGAGGCACAAGATGACATCCTGACTCACTGTTGAGTTGTGTTTCAGTTTTCATATGTGTTCCTCCTACCTCATATGTAAGACCCTGTGAGAGTTCTGCCCTCTCAACCTCAGGGACCCACCCCTCATCTCCCTTAACCTGCCATCTCTGCTGCCCTGAAATGCCTGGGATTGTGCTTTTCCTAATACTGGATTCTGATGTGTTAATTAAGACAGTAATCTGTATTAACTTAGAAATCAATTTGGAATCTCTAAGACTTATAGTTCCTTCTTTGTAAAAATAACTTGATTCTACTGTTAAATTTGTGAGAAGCAACAAGGAAAGCAGTTAAAACAATTCAGAACTCTTGTGTTTTTGTGATATGAGGTTACAAGAGGAAATGAAAATGGGAAATAAAAGTGCACATCTTTGGATGCCTTAAACTGTTACTTTATAGCGTCAGGAGATGGGTTGTTGATGTAAAAGTCATAGTCCTTACTCACTTTGGACAGGGCACTTCACCAGGAAGCAGAAGTCTCTGGCTTTCTTTATTGGAACAATGAATGAAAATAATGCCTTTGTTGATATTTTATGCTCTAAGATGTGTCTCTGTCCTCTTAATGTCCTCATCAACTTTTGTTTGTTTTCACTTCTGCCTCCCAAGTGCATTTTTCTGCCCCTTTAATTTGGGCTGTTTCTCGATGAACATGACCTCTTATTTTCAGGCCCAGTTACCTCTAAGCCTATGTACTTACTTATTTATTTTATTTTATTTATTTGTGTCTTTAGCTCAATTCTGAATGGGCTTTGGAAAGTAGAGAAGAAAATCCAGTCTGCTTTTCGTGGGATATTGGACAGCCGAATAAATGCAGGTATGTCGAGAGAGAGAGAGAAATGTTTTGTTTTAAGGAAAACATCTGACTTTTAAAAAGAATAATGAAACTGATCTTGAACCTGTAGGGCTAACTATACTGTTATGCATAATTTTTAAAAATCAACATTTTATTCATCCTCAATGGGAAGTATATGGATTTTTAAGAAATCTCAGGAGTATAAAAGTACAGGAAATACAGAGTAAAAGCTGAAGTTTTCTTATAATCTATCCTAGACACTCACCACCATTAAAAAATTATTATATGTTGTACCAGATTTTAATATGCATATGCATAACCCAAAGGGCCATAATGTACCTGTTATCTTTTTTGACTTTGCAGAGTGCCTTGTACCTCTTTCAATGTTGAGGTACATAGCTTTATGTCATCCTTTTATTTTTGTTATCATTATTTTATTTTGTACTGGAGATTCAGTCCAGGGGTACTTAACTACTGAGCCACATCCCCAGCCTTTACTTAGAACAAGATCTCAGCAAATTGCTTAGGACCTTGCTAAGGTCCTGATGCTTGCTTTGAACTTATGATCCTCCTACCTTAGCCTCCCAAGTCTCTGGGATTACAGGGGTGTGCTACCGTACCTGATATGTCATCCTTTTAAACAGCTCTTGATAGACTTCTTCTCCTAATGAACATTGTCCATTATATGTATTTTTTTTATGTTTCTAGCAGTGCTATATCTTGTGAACCTGTAAGTATGTATACTTGTCTGATTATTTAATCTCCTTAGAGTTAGGGGTACAATGTTCTCTTTGAATTCTGTCTCTGTCACATCTATAAAGAATCTCCAGGACAAAGGTTTGCCTTACATTATGAAGCAGGTTTTTAACTATTATGCTTTCCATGTCAATATTTCAATGTGGGTTAGAGTTGGGGCTTAACTGCTGGTTATACTTGTTGATCTGAACTTTGAGGTAAACTTGATTTCCGGAAGCTTCTGGTTTTCAGCTTTATTTTGGACATTGAGCAATTAAAATGGAAAGTCTCTTATTTTATAGCATCAAGGCCTACCTGGTTCCTGTCCTCCTGTAAGCATCTCACTTCTCATCTTGATTTATTAGGGCAGCTAATAGATCAAGCAAATTAATTTGTTAAAGAGGATTGTGACTGTTGTCCCCATGTGACTTTCCTGTTTGGGGAGCTTCCTTAGGTCAGTCCAAAAGCACCAATTACATGTAAGCATTTATGCTTCATAGAAGGGATACAAAGGTAAATGGCAGGTAACTTACAGCGTGTGTAAGTAAGGTACAGATGCATGAATAAGATGGTTCTATTTCATTGTGGTTAGAGAAGTGTGATGAGTTTGGGAGCTCATGACAGAGGGTATATACCTTAAATATAGGACTGTAGTTCAGTGAAAGCTTCCTGAAGGAGGTGATGTCTGGGCTAAGTCCTAAAGAAGGTTGATGTCTGCCATAAAAGATGTAGGTGGGAAGGTATATCTGTACAGGAATCAGCATGAGTAAGGCAGAAGGGTGAGAAGCAGCACTGGTGAGGGAGGCACAAGAATGCTGGCAGCCTTGTGGGTTTTAAGCATGAAGTAAGAAGCTCGGAGTGACAAGAGATGAGGCCAATGAGGAGATGGAACCCCTCAGTTTCAGAGTTTGGAACTGGTCTATAGATTAATGGGGAGACAATGAGGGAGTCTGATAAGTTTTAAAGACATTTCTTTGGAGGTTTAGTGAAGGCTGGCTTGGCAAGAAGAAAGAAAGCATTAGTCTAGGGACAGGGAAATTAGTTTTTAGGCAATGATATTGGGGCAAGGAGAAGAAAATGTGTAGGCCTTTCCCTTGCTCTTCCATTCCTTTAGCCTCACTCAAAGCAGAGTAGCTGAGGCTGGTTCTTTGGTCCTAGTTGCCTTCCCTTTTGAGGGGGCTCATAGGAGCCGCTGACATGCAAGCTTATCACCAGTAGGTCCTAATTTTTCCACAATAAAACTTCCTGTTCTTGTCCCATTGCCATGAAGTGCTGCTTGACCTGCTGCCTATTCTGCTTGCCTGCCCATGGGTGAACTGTGGACCTGGCTCCATTCATTAATTTTTCATCTCCTTTCATGTGACTTGTAAATATGCAGTGGCGGTCATTTTGTGTGTACTGTCACAAAGGGGCATGTGAATAGATATGCCCTGACCAAACTTGCTGATTAGTAAGAGATAGACATAAAATTAAGAGTATGATTCTTGCTATAGGTCTAATCCAAAGTTGTGATTCCAAAAGTAGCAATATTAACAATTACTCATCATTCTTTTAACATTGTTGGTTCCAGAATAGGCCTAAAATTTTCAACTATAACTTATGTGCTAATAGACAAAGTTAATTAAAGCCAATATTATTCTGATTTTTGACAATATGGCCTGACTATAGTTTATTACTATGCATAATTATTTCCATGGTTTCATCTCTTGTAAGCTCTGACCTGCCTGATTTTTAGGAAGGGAAGGAGGAAGAGGTTCTTATCCAGTACTAAATATTACTGCTTGCATACCTTTACAACACTCTCTTTTGCCCTAGAGACTTGTAAAACATAGAACGACCATATCACCTTGTTCTCCTCCTTCTACAGTATCTAAATATAAAAGAAGACTGCAATGCCATGGCTTTCTGTGCTAAAATGAGGAGCTCCAAGAAAGCGGAGGTGAATCAGGTGGCCCCTGAGCCAGGGGTGGAAGTGACCTTCTATCTGCCAGACAGGGAGCCCCTCCGGCTGGGCACTGGAGAGTACACAGCAGAAGAGCTGTGCATCAGGGCAGCGCAGGAATGCTGTGAGTACTGGCAGTTGCCTGGGGCTCTGGAGTCACAATAGCATACTCTCCCAGAAGCAGATCTAGGGTCTCTGCCCTTTATATCTTTGCTGAGCAGAAGATGTGGTCTCCGGTAGTCAGGGGTCTGCCTTGCCTCTGCTTCTGCCACTTACTTACATGTGATCTTTGGCCAGTGATTTTAATCTAGGGAGTTTTACTTTTTACTGCAAGACGGATCATTCCTCTTTTATCACTGATGAGCTGTAGAATACCAAGGAATGGTGCTTAACTCAGTTCTCATTGCCCCCACATCTCTGATCAAAATAGCATTAGTACCAGGTAAGGTGGTATGTAAAGCACATAGCCTCAAGTACAATCTCAAAAGTAGCATCTCTCAATATGTTAGAGATTTTTTGGAAACTCTTCCTTTAGAGATTGGCACCATGACCTGCCCTCCCCTGTGTGGTGTGCAGATGAGGTGAGAAGCTGAGTGTTGCTTTGTGACTTGGTCAGGTTGCCAAGCTGTGAAAAGGACAGTGAGACAGTTAACAGCACAGTCTGGTTTTTTTTGGTGTGTGTGTTTAAAGTGAGGCTTGTCTTACTTAAAGTTAACCTATCACCCTTTGAAGATGGGAAGCCAAAGTGACTGACAAAACTTTCATTACCCTTGCAATTTAGGTGGGGACATTGGCAGATTTTTATCTTCCCAATTTTAAATGAAAAGCAAAACGAAATCAGAAACTTAGAGATATAATCCACATAGATTATAGCAATGGTTGTACAACTTAGTACTAACACACTAAAGTTCATTGAGTTATATACCTAGAACAGGTATATTTTATAGTATGTAAATTGTATATCAATAAAGCTGTTTATAGAAAATCTAATTGACTTATATTGTAATGATGAAGTAACTTTATGATCCCAGACAGTCTGATCCATGTTTTACTTATACCATCTTTAGTACTCAGAGCAACTTTGTGAGGATAGTGTAGTTATTTAAGAATCGCTTACCATGTTAGTCATATAGCTTGTTGAGAAACCCCATTTTCTTCCTGTTACATGCCTTTGTGCCTAAAGGGCTTTATATACCAGAGTGCCAGTAGAATGGAAGAGGTTTCTGTTACAGGAATGATTTGTGGTAGACTCTCACTAACTAAACAGGGTGTGGGATGTTTAAGTTATTTTGACTGGGCAGCAATCTATACAAGTAAATAGCTTTGAACAGCAGCTCTAAGTGTATTTGTAGTTAGCAGAATTATTAGATGTGTGTCAGTGCTTCTAGAGCATTTCTAAAGGCTTTTGTCTGTTTCTCTTCCTTTCCCTACCGGTTTGCTTGTAGTGCCGATTCCTTAACCAAGCACTTTATAATAATCATTCAGTATTAACCTCACTCAGTTTTTTTTTTTTTTAAAGCAGGGATCACTTTTGCAGAATTGTTGGATTGTAGTTAATCTATCAGTTCCTAAGTCTTGTCTGTAGAGAATGAGTGGTGTCTTTTCTGTAACTGGCTCAAAGGAATTTTGCCACAGTACATTAATTTTAAAAGTACGTAAATACTGAATATTACAGATTTTTGTAGCACTCATTATTATTACAGAAGTGATGTTTGGGAGCTATACTGTTTTCTTCCCTGTTTTATACTCACCAATGGTAAAGTTTGGTTCTTTGAGCTTTTATCGCTTATCTCCTCGGTGGTTTCTTTCTTGGTTTTAATCTCAACTCTGCATGGTACTGAGTAACCTTGAATTACATTAAACCTTGGGAGACCACAGTTTCTTCAACTGTAAAACGGCAAAAGAAAAATATTAACCTCATTAAGTATCAGGAGGAGCAAAAGATAATAAAAGTAATGTTAACTCTATGCCTAACATGTAGCCCCAAGTAAATGTTAGTATTATTGTTTAGTATTTTTATATAACATGTTATCTCTGATCTTCCTGTTTATAAATAGTTATGAATAGGTAAGATTTTTAGAATCAGACCTGTGGTAGGAAAAATAGATATTTCCATGATTACATATAAATCATGCTTCAAGTGTGCATTCAAATAAAGATATGTATAAAGAAAGGCTAATTTTTCAGGCCAGCCTATAAGAACCAATTTATGTATGAAAACCTATAGCATACCTGAAACATAGTCCTAATAATACTGGATCCAAAAGCCATTGGTCTTTGTTCCCTAGGGGAAATGCTCTTTAAAGTTTAGCTCCATCTTTTCCCTTTGTTAGTAGAATTGTAGCTTGGGCAGGAATAACTTTCACCTTTCTTGAGACCCGAGTTGAGGTGTCAGGAGAAAGCTTTGAGATGCCAAGTCACTTGTGACTTCTTAAGCCAGTTTCTGCATTGGAGTGTCCCTCCCAGGCTGTGCAGGGCCAGAGAGGGACCCTGTCAAGGTCATTTTCACTTCAGGTTTCTGATTTAGAAAACAAGTGCCAATTACCTCATTTTTTCCCACATTTTTTGATCATTTAAGTTCACTATATCTTAGTTTGAGGCTTGGTTGGACCTGAAAATATCAGTAATAATTGTTTATTGGCATTCACCTCCCACCACCCCAACATCTGTGTAATCTACTGGTCTATAATTTTAATCATGGGCTAAGAAGTGAGTGACTGCATAATCTCCCTTACCTTTTTTTATCATGCTTGTTATTAAGGAAGCAGTTGATGAGGTAGGGAGGCAAAGCATTACTGAGCCAACTTTGTAAGCATATATCTTCATCTTACTTGGATATTAATAAAAATATTTATGGTAACTGTACAGAGTACTTAAGAATTATATTTATTATTAATGGTAATAAATTTTAATCACTGATGAAAACCACTTTGGTTATTATTTATTCTAATATGCATTTTGTGCACTATAACTTTGCATGCTTAATGTATAACCACAGTGTGTTAGAATTGTTCAAACATGTTTTGGAGGAAACAGATTGAGGATTTCCCAAACTCCAAGAGTGTTTCTGTCTGATTAGAAAGGTGCACATTGGGTGGGATCTGTGAGCCTCTTAGATGGCCTTTTTATCTTTTAAGCAGGATTTGGTGAGTCTCTGTCATAGACTACCTGTATTGAGAAACATCATCAATTTTTATTTTTAAATGACTTTAATTTGGCTTACCAGGAGTTACATGCCTACAACTGGGGAGTCATGGTTCTTGATTATTATAATTCAAACTGCCTAACTGAACGTGGTTGAAAATTGTTTTTGCCCTAAGAGGATATAAGTGACCCAGATTTTTTGTGATGAGAGACTCACTTATCATTATGTTGTCATGCTTGAGAAACAGGTGGCCAAGTGCATCTCCCTGTAATCTTCTGATGTGTTCTTTCCCCAGGTATATCTCCTCTATGCCACAACCTCTTTGCCTTGTATGATGAGAACACCAAGCTCTGGTATGCTCCGAACCGCACCATCACCATTGATGACAAGATATCACTCCGACTGCACTACCGCATGAGGTACGTGAGAACTGAGCTGATGCCTGCCTGGTCTCCTCATGCATCCAGAGATGACGGTTAACCTGGGCCCTGAGTCGTTTACCAAGAAGTAACATAGTCATTTTTGTAGTTTGTAACTTTTTGCTTGATATGAGAAAGGACTTCATCAGTATTTGGAATATAATTCGAGATGAATTTGATCACTTTTCCTTTGCCACATTTTAGAAAAGAAATGTTTATGAAATGTTAACTAGCATCTGTGTCCTTAGCAGTTTTTTTCAAGTAGTGAATCTTGATTATGTTTTTAATGCAGAGGGCTGTGACCAGAACTTAAAAAAAGAAAGAAACAGGAGAGAATAGATAATATTCATATATATATGTATCCTAAGAACATTTAAAAAAAATCTGAGGTATATACTAGGTCATTATATGAAATATATTTCTTACTAAAAGTTACAGCTAGGAAGCATGAGATATATTGCCTGGAATAGAAACTCTGGGCTGATCTTTCTTTCAGGTAATAGATGTTTTGATCAGGAAGCAGATGTTTGACTGTTGTTCTCTTCTGATGAGTACTTGCTTTTTCTCCCTTACTATAAACTTTGCTGTAGACTCTATAGTGTCTCCCAGGGTCAAATACACAGTTGGTAGTTCCAGGGCTGCAGTCTCTTGACTTTGTAAGCATATTTTTCAGCAATGAGAATTGAAAGTATCTTAGTTGGATACTAGTTAAGCACAAATTAATGTGTGTTTAGCAGTGAATCCTTTTTGAAAAGGATCTTAATTTATTTAGTTATGATTATCAGTAGACTAGCATAGAAGCTACTGGGATTCAGGAACATGTTAGAAAAAACCATCCAGATCCTCAGAGCCTCTCCACAGTATCTTAGCTGTTAGTTTTTTCAGAAACTCGGTAGTTGGCACAGTTCCAGAAAGACAGGGTCATTTTTCTGGAAGCTGAAGCAGATCTAACTTTCATAATCATTCTTGGCCTGATTTTTTCTCCTCTTCCTCCTCTCCCTGTACTTCCCTAAAGCCTTACCTTGAGAGGAGAGGAGTGTGCCATGTGAGACTTGTCCCAGATTTAGGGAAATGTTTACTGCTTCCAGCTGAACTTTCTGACTTATATTTGGATTTGTTTGGTAAAATGTAGTCTTGCTTTTCATGGCCTGGGATTGGCTGTGTGACCAATGTTGATATGGGTACTTACAGCTGGAAATCTCAGAAGTTCTACTCCTTTCCCTGTAGGTTTCTAAATTGAGCTTACAATCTAGCATGGTAGCATTTGCGACTTGGATGGAATGAGAGTTACTTAATTCACCCCTTCTACTTTTTTCTGATGTCAGAAAAGAAAAGGGAGTTATTCAGAGATATACCTGTAGTGAATTGTCTTATTATCAGTACATTTCACTTTGAGGCATTAGTCTTTATTGTTCATACGGGTCTCTCACTATTAAAACTTGTCTTTGCCCATTCCCCATTTCTTTTTGCTGCCAGGAAGTGCACAGATGCTTCATTTTTGTCACCTTGACTTTGTACCTGACATTGTGCTTCAACAGGATATTGCTTTGTTACCACAGACTCTTTGAACTTGGGGAAAAAGATACCACCCTAAGCTAAAACATTTGCATTGCAACAAACTACAAAAATTTTGAAACCTCATAATCTCACCACTAAAGAAGGTGCAATATGAAAATAAATGTTGATGATTATTTCAGTGGAATCCCAGCTCTATTTTGGGAAATAGTCTTATACTTTAACTGTGGTTTTCTGTTTTTAGGTAATGATGTTGATAGTTACTGTTTTATAATATATGTTAATTCAAGGTAATCATTTTTATTCCTTTTTAAGAAAAAAATTCTTGCTTTTTCATCCAAGTGAATTTCACTGTTAATAAAATTCTATAGAAACTTAAAGAGAATTTATTGTGTACTATGTCTATAAGTAAATTTAGATTCTGCAGTCATCTGTAATATAATTTCTCAAAAACTTGCAGGGTGTATCTGTGACTGACAGATCTATTTATTTTCTCCGGACTTACCCTTCCATGTTCTTTTGAAAAGGAATGTGGGTGGGTAGGGATCACACTACATTTACTTGTTACTCAGTTTTTTCCATTGGCATTCATAATATCAGGAATTTGTACCAAGTTTGATGAACACCTCTGTAATTTATTTTTTATTTCATTGTAAATTGACAATTTATAATTATGTATATTGGGGTACAAAACAATGTTATAACTTGTGAATATAATGTAAAGTAATTAAACCAAACTAATTAACATATTAATCACCTCAGGTAATTATTTTTGTGGTGGGAACATTTAAAATTTAATGTTAGCAATTTTGAGATATGCAATTAACTATAGTTACCACATTGTGCAGTAGATCTTTTAAGAAAAACACTCTTATTCCACCTTTGAACTCTTGGTCATATCAATTATTAATTTTAAAAAGGAGTGTAGAATTTTAAAAATTTAAAAATTTAAAATTTTAAAAATTTTAAAAAGGAATGAAATTGAATTTTCTAGCAATTAGGAAGGTGTTGATATTTGTGGCCACCAATTTAAAGTTGTTATTATGTTGTTTGACATCTTATGAAATAGAATTTTGTCAACTTTTGAGTGTAGGCAGTTCATAGAGACTCAGCTTGTTTTAGACTTCCTGGGCTTGGTGTTTACCGTTAGTCTTTACTGTTGTGGAGAAGCTGCACATTGCTTGATCTCTCCAGCCTTATCTCATCTGAATATCTGACCAAAAGGCTGCCAAGCCAGACATGGTTCCACAGTCCCACAGGGCTCTCAGAAGCCTAGAAAAATGTGCTTGTGATGTCTTTGTCAATCTTTAGTGACCCTGTTGAAGATTGTATTTAGTGCAGAGGGAGAATGTTGGGTCCTGGGTTCTACCACAACTGAAGGAGAAGGAGACAGACAGGATGTGGAAGATGAGATCCATGCATTAGATTGGTTCAGGGAGCACCTGCCTTCAGTGCTTCTGTTACAATGTGTTCCACCTCTGAGGGCCTTTTCTTTCCCTACTGCAGGAAACCTTTGTGTTGTACATATCCTCATGCTCTGATCACTGCTTCCCTTATCCATGAACAGAATTTACCTGGTCTAATGCTATTCTCTTAGAGCCCTGCTTTGAACTTTGTATGGCACAGGTCATTCTCTCCTTATTTTCTACTTAGGGGAGAGAAGCCAGCTAAGTACTCCATCCATGCTATCCATGTTATCCATGGGGATAACATGAATGTCAGCCTCTGCATCACCTCGGGCTCCTGTTGTTACCAGAGTCTGATCCCCTGTAAGAGGACAGTACACCTGCTTCAGAGACCTGGTGTGGTTTATGCAGCATGTGGGCTCTTCAGTTATATTTCTCTTTTTCTCAGTCACATACACAGTTGGTATTTCTACGGCTTCAGTCTCTTGACTTTGTAAGCATATTTTTTTTTTCAGCAATGATAATTGAAAGTATCTTAGTTGGATACTAGTTAAGCACAAATTAATGTGTGTTTAGCACTGAATCCTTTTTGAAAAGGATCTTAAATCAGTAGACTTGCTTAGAAGCTACTGGGATTCAGGAACTTGTTAGAAAAACCGTCTAGATCCTCAGAGCCTTTCCTCAGTATCTTAGCTGTTAGTTTTTTTCAGAAACTCGGTAGAGTTGGCACTATTCCAGAAAGACAGGGTCAGTTTTCTGGAAGCTGAAGCAGATCTAACTTTCATAATCATTCTTGGCCTGACTTTTTCTCCTCTTCCTCCTCTTCTGTACTTATTTTGAGGGGAGAAGTACAGAGACAGAGAAAGAAACATACAACAAAGCTGAGAGAGAGAGAGGGGGGGGGAGGGAGGGAGGGAGGGAGAGAGAACAAAGCCTACAAACTTATCCCTTTCATAAGTTACAGGGAGGATGGGCTGTATAGAAACATAGAAAGTTATAAAATATTGATTTTTTTACCTTTAATTTCTTCATCCTTTTCTCTCATTGTTGATTGCTACTCCTTGAGTTTGTTCTTTATTTGTTGTTTGTCTGTCAAGCATGTATTAAGCATGTGTTAGGTGCCAGGCACTGGGGATTTGGTGGTGAGTGAGACAACTGCAGCCTCTATTGCCTCAGAGCCCACTGCCTCACCCAGACTGTTGCCAGAGTCCTGCTGTTTCTTGGCCTCTTCCACCTCATTTCTTCCTGGGCTTCCTTCCAGAGGTATCCTGCCTTACGTCAGTTTGGCGGTCTAACTTTTTATTGTTTATTGTTTGGTGGTATAACTTTTTATTGTTTATCTTTTCTTTAGTGGAGGAAGGAGAAAGTATATGGGATCCATGAACACTGCAGTGTAGTCCTGCTTGTGACATGTGCTCCATTATATGTTGCATTATATTGTTTGTTGGTTGTTGAGCTCACAGAGGGCAGGGTCTGTGCCTAAGAACCCTCTGTATCCCTGGGCCTGGTATGTCCCAGGCTCTACACACAGTTCAGTGACATGTATCTAAGTTTAACAGCAGTCTTATTTTGTGTGTGTGTGTGTGTCGGGGGGGCGGACTTTTATTCATTTCTTTTTGGTGACATGGTAGTTTTTCTCAGCACATGGGCATGTGAGGGGTGAGAGGCCCAGGCAGCAGCCGAGTCTACAGCCTGAAGACCTTGGGCCACTTAGCTTAGCTACCACCCCACATTATGGAACTCACTGTGTTTCCTATACAGATGGCAGAGAAAATCTGCTATCTTAAGAGATATGCTTTTAGTCTTAGATCACCAAGCCTCTTGGAATCTGTTTTCCTTATCTTTGAAGTAGAAACAAATCTACTTTGTGGAGTTGCTGTGAGGATCACAGCACACTGTCTATAAAGTGCTGTTACATTTCCTCATGACACCACAGTTGATTCTTATACTAGTATTCATGTAGTTCTCTTTTGAAATCATTCATCATTAGATGCACCATCAATTGAGTAATGGAAGCCAGGGAACTAGGAAACACTGCTGTGTTAACCGCACATCTTGACCATATGGTAAAACTAGGTTTCTGAAGTGTTAGGATGAGAGGCCAAGGCAGGTGGCCCAACCTTGATGCAAAGGTATAGGGGCTGTTGGGTCAGCAGCTGGTTCTAGACAGCAAGGACTCTTTCCTGTCTAGGAAGACACAGTGGCTGTCAGAGGAGCCATCTTTGTGATCGTTGGGAAGTCACTTTACCCCTCTGCATCATTGAGGAGATGCTGACAGGACAGTCTTCACAGAGCACCTGCAAGAATAAAACTAGCCTAACAGATGAAGGGGTGCTGCAGAATGCGAGGCTGGCCTCTTTACTCACCTCTCAGGGCAGTTCACCTCCTGAGCTGTTCACTCTTGTGGGACCAGGATGCCTTTCCCAGCATTCCAGGATTCCCTTTGCCACAACTGACATTCATTTTACCACCTTTCAGGTTCTACTTCACAAACTGGCATGGAACCAATGACAGTGAGCAGTCTGTATGGCGACATTCTCCAAAGAAGCAGAAAAATGGCTATGAGAAGAAAAAGGTTCCAGATGCAACCCCTCTCCTTGATGCCAGCTCGCTGGAGTACCTGTTTGCTCAGGTGAAAAGTTTGGACCTGAGGGAACCAGGAGTTTATAGGGAGGGTGAGATGTTATAGGGCTCAAATTCCCTGTGCAGCTGAACTTGGTGGTGTTGGAATGCTTTATGGCCTGTTCTGCAGAAGTGCTGCTGCACCTAGACTTGCCCCAGGTGAGACGGAAAGGCTGTCCTACTTGTGGGTTTTCAGGCCTCACTTCTCTATTCCCTTTTTCTTCCCTCTCTTTTTCCTTGTTATCTGTAGCATCTTACATGCAAAAGTCACAGGGAGGTATAATTGAGGGAAGGTATAGTTCAGTCAAGCTAATAAGGTACTTTTCAGCAAGGAGATGTCTGGGAGGAAGGAGATGGCCACTTTATCATAGTGGTAGGAGACTGGGAAGATTTGATACTAGGAAAAAGTCAAAGAGAAGTTAGAATCACCTGAAATTACATTGCCCTGAGATTGTTAGCATTTTGGATCACATGTTTGCTGATTTTAACATGCAGATTTATATTATATACTATGTAATTTTTGAATATATTTTATTTGTGTCACTCTATAGGCCCTTTATTCATTCTATTTTTATTCATCCTATCATTTGCCTTGCAAATGTCCATTAAAATATTGATCTTTGTTGTTTTAATGACTTCATAGTAATTCATTTATTCAACAGATATTTACTGAGTGTCTGGGTCCTGTTTGCCTCAGGTGCTTATACTTGTTGAGGTATTGGAGTGAATGAAATAGACATGATCTCTGCATGCATCAGTTATTATCCAAGTTAGACAATAGAAAACAACAAGCATACAAAATGATACATAATGTGTAAGAAATTGTAGGAAATGCTATGAAGGGACAGAAAGGCTCTTGTGATAGAGACATGGTGTGAAATTTGAATGGGGAGACCGAATTTAAATAGTGTGAACAGAGAAGGTCTCTTTAGGGAGATGACATTTATAATGAATCTTGAAGAATATAAAAGAGGCTGTAATCTAGAGAGGAGTAGAGGAAGTATTTCTTTGCTGTGGAGTTTCTCAATAGTTTCTGTCAGTAGTCAGTTGTTTCACCGCTGACATTTTGAGGTAGATAATTCTTTGTTGTGACGAACTTCCCCGCATTGTGGGGTATTCATCAGCACCCCTGGCCTGTACCCACTAGATGCCAGCAGAATATTTACCAGCACCTTACCCTCCTCACAGTTGTAACAACCCAAAATGTCTTCAGACATTACCCACTATTCCTTTCGCCCTGATTGAAAACATCTGAGGAGAGGAGCTCATGTGGGGAGGTCCTGAGGCAGGTGGGAGCTAGAAGGAGAGTCACTTGGGAGAACATGAGCAGGGTGTTAGGAGAGGGGATGGTGAGGCAAACAGGCAGGTCCTGCAGAGCCTTGCATAAATTGGTAAGGGGTCATGTTTTTACCCTGGGTGCCAGTTGGAGGGTTTGATCTTATTAATGTTGTAAGTCAATGATGGTTCTGTTATATGTGGAAAGTGGATGTGCTGGACCCAAGGGTGCATCTCTTCCATAGTAGCTGAGAGTCTGTAATAGTGGTTTAAGCAAGAGAAAATGCTGGTTTGGCCTAATGTAATGGCATTGGGGTTGGGGCAAAATGAATAGATCTGCCATTAATTTTGGAGGTAGAATTAGGCTGATTTGCTGATGGATTAGGTTTGGAAGATGAGAGACTCTGAGGACTCAGAGATGATTTCTAGGCGTTGTTTTGGGCAATGTTGGATAGATGATGGAGTCATTTCCTACATATGGAAGACTGGGAGGAAGAGCCTGGGGAAGTGGTGGAAATGAGGGATTCTCTTTTGGAGAGGCTGATGAACACTCAAGTGGAGATTTTAGATAGAAAATTAAATAATGAGGAAAAGCCATCATTTATTTAAGTAATTAATTGTTTCTGGACATTTTTTTAAAAATATTTTTTAATTGTAGGTGGACACAATACCTTTATTTGTTTATTTAGTTTTTTTTAACTTTATTTTATTTGTTGTTATTTTTATGTGGTGTTGGGGATCCATTCCAGTGCCTTACGCATGCTAGGCAAGTGCTCTACCACAGAGCCACAACCCCACCTGACATTTTGAGTTTTTCCTCAAGTTTTTTAATGATGCTATCATTATGATAGGTTGTCATATATGAGTTTATATGAGTTGTCATATATGAGTTTATATGAGCCTTATATGAGTTTCTGTACATGCCTGTTATTTTCTTAGGATATACTTTTACGTCAAGAGTTATATTCCATTTTATATCAAAAGTTATATCCCATTGTAGCTTTGGTTACTAATAGTACTTTATTCCATGTATACCTTAAAATTGACTTTAGAGACACCATAAAAATGAGAAAATGCACAACCCTCAGGAAATAGTATTTGGGAAAAAAATCAGATCAGTCTTTTTGGATTCAATTTCTCCGTTTTATGAATGCATATCTGAGATTTACTTATCTTTCTTTGGAGCAGACATATAAAAGAGCATTGTATTGTATTTGAAGGATGAAATACTGCATTAGAATTTGACCTTTGGGAGGCTTTTAGACCCAAGTTACTGAAGGTAGCTGCTGTATAACAAATATTCAAAGAAAATTGTAGCCAAAAACCAGTTTCAGATTTTGTTCTGTTCTTCACACATTGTTGGTATAGATTATTGTTATTGGTTCTTAAAAGTGTGTAGAACAGGTCAGTGACCCTTCCTCACCCCATCCCCTATGATGCTTGGCACTTGCAGTTGACTTTGCTTTTTGTAACTGTCTGATGTCAGATATTCCAGTTTTTTTTCCCTTTCTCCTTATAATGTAATCTCCATGGGGTCAGAAACATGGTTTAGTTTATTTCTACATCCCTTATGCCTAGAATAACATCTGGCCTATAATTAGTTCTCAGGAATTATCTAACTGAATGATAAGTGTGGGTAATGATGTTAATGCCATCTCAGAGGGCTGTTGTGAGGATCAAATGAAATAATAGGTGAAAGGAGCTAAGCACAGGATCCAGCAATGAGGTTAGGGGTTAATAAATACGAGCTGGTATTAGCATTGTCATCATTTCTGTGAAAGGCAGGTGGTCGGCCTTTCTTTTTAGTTTTGGTTTAGTTTTTGTTTTTAAAGCTCCCATTGGTTCTTGGAGTGGAATGCACCCCCATCAGTGAGGGAGTTACTCTGATGATACAGTTCACTACTGCATACATGAACAGCAGATGTGGAACACACTTAGAAGAAGCTGAATGTGAATTCCTTCTTCTTTCGTAAACCTGCATCAGACTGGGAGGTGCTACCCTTGCTGACTTTATACACACAGTTCCTAGACTTGGATGTTTGTGGAATTAATGAATGATCAAACCTCAGCCCAGTGTCACTTGCCTTGTTCTAGCACAGTTCATACCTAGCACACATTGCTTGTCAGCATTGTTTATATAAGCCTTATGAAGGAGCTTTGTGTTTGTACTCTTCACCAGTACCTAACATAGCGCTCAATAACTACTAGTTGAATTTGTTTTTACTCTTCACCAGTACCTAACATAGCACTCAATAACTAC